CTCCCCATCCTCACCTCCTCTGCTCCATCCCACAGGAGCCCCTCAAGAGCCTTCGCCCCAAGAAGCTCGACGTCCCCAGCGGCAGCTCCCAGAAGCCCCGAGAGGTGAAGGCTGTGCCCTTGGAGCTGCAGGAGGAGCTGGGAGACAGTGAGTGTGTGTTTGGGGTGTGTGTGTGGGAGGGGGGGTGTCCCGGTGTGGCTGCCGGTGAGCTCCATTGCGGTGCCGCAGGCCGGAAGCACATGCGGCAGTCGACGACGGAGCACACGCGCCAAACGTTCCTGCGCATCCAGGAGCGGCAGGTGCAGTCCAAGCGCAAGAAGGGAGGCCCCAACTACGAGCGGCCGCTGACGCAGGAGGAGCTGCTGGAGGAGGCCAAGATCACGGAGGAGATCAACCTGCGCTCCCTGGGTGAGGCACACACGGCCCCGGCGCTGCTGCTGTGGGCAGAGGGGCTGCTGGTGGCGGCGGGGGGGAGCCGCTGGGGGCTGAGCTTCCCCTTCCCTTGGTCGCTGCTTGCACAGAGAACTACGAGCGCCTGGAGGCTGACAAGAAGAAGCAGGTTCAGAAGAAGAGGAAGTGCGTGGGGCCCGTTATCCGGTACTGGTCCGTCACCATGCCCCTGGTGCCAGAGCCCGGCAAGGAGGAGAACGTGGACGTGGAGGGGTAGGTTGGGCTCACCCTGCTGGGGTCTTCACCCAACCCTGCTCCTACCCCTCTGGGGTGGGGAGGGATAAGCAGGCTCTGGGCAGTCCTGGCAGGGGGGGAGACTTGGGCAGATTTGGTGGCTCTGCCTGCTCGTGGCTTCCCCTCATCCCAGGGCTTTCTCCAGGCTGGACCAAGACCCCCAGCAGACGGAAGCAGCTCCGACCCCGGCTCCCGCTTCGGCCGGGAAGTGCTCCCGCACCTTCATCTCCTTCAGCGACGACGAAACCTTCGAGCGCTTCTTCCCCAAAGCGAAGCCGCCGCGGCTGCCGGTGCGGGAGATCTGCCCCGTGACCCACAAACCGGCCGTGTACCGGGACCCCATCACCGACATCCCCTACTCCAACATCCGCGCCTTCAAAATCATCCGGGAGGCCTACAAGAAGTACATCACGGCGCACGGGCTGCCCAGCGCCGCTGCCTCCGCCGCCCTGGGGGCCGCTGCTGCCCCCGACCCCGGCGCCCGGCCCACCCGCCAGAAGATCGTCATCAAGCAGAGCGTCCCCATGAGCTGAGGGCTCCTCTCCTCGGCCTCGCCTCCGTGGGCAGTGGTTCCTCGCTCTATTTATCTCCTGCCTCCCGTTTTTGATAGGGAAAAGAAAGAAATCCAAGTAACCCGCATCCATTTCAGCATCTGCAACACCAGGAGACCCTACAATAAACGTGGGGTATGTTCAACCCCTTGTCATTTGAGAGACCCTACAACAAACACGGGATGCATACAGCCCCTTGTTATTGGAGAGACCCTACAATAAACACGGGATGCGTACAGCCCCTTGTTATTGGAGAGACCCTACAATAAACACGGGATGCGTACAGCCCCTTGTTATTGGAGAGACCCTACAATAAGCATGGGGTGCGTTCAACCCCTTGTTATTTGAGAGACTCTACAATAAACACGGGGTGCCTACAACCGCTCGTTTTCTGAGGGACCCTACAATAAACACGGGGTGCCTACAACCGCTTGTTTTCTGAGGGACCCTACAATAAACAAGCAGTGTGTTCGAGTGCAGCACTGCCATGGGAAGCCCCAGTGACGGTGGCCGCATGCACCCCCTTGAATGGGATTCAGGGGCCTGGGGCTGTGCAAGAGCCAAGTCACTCCCATGGTCTTGGGGTAAAGAAGGCATAAAATACCCCGGGGTGAGGCTTGGGGGTCTCCAAGGGACTGTGGGGCCCCACGCATGAAGCGGTCACCCTGCCCGGGGCACCCCAAAGGTAAGAGCCGGCCCCGGTGGCGGCGGGGCTCCGGGGTGGAGCCGCGGGGCTGGCAGGGCTCGATAGCGCCCGGGGCTCTGGGGATACGTGATCCGCCCCTCCCGCTGCCGGGCCCAAGAAAACGCTGATCTCATGCCCTGCGCGCCCGGAGCCCTGCGCTCAGCACCGGGGCTCGCACCCAGGCAGGCGCTGCCACCCCCCCCAGGCACCAGGTAAAGGCACTGGGGTCTGCAAGGGGGTGGGGGGGGGTCAGGGTCATCACCCCCCAGCGCTACCGGTTCGGGGGGTCCCATGGGCTGTGGGGGATCCCCGCTCCCCGTGCGGTCCCTCCCGGGGGCACCGGGTGCGTGTCTGTGTCCCCAGTGTCGGGTGGAGAATCCCAATGAGGTTCCTTTGGGGAAAGCTGTCCCCGGGGCTGGGGGGTCGTGGTTCATGTCCTCAGTGTTTGCCCCTGTTGCACCCCCCCCCCCCGAGGGCTGGGGGGAACCCAGGCTGGGGGGCAAAGGAGCACTGGGGCTGCTGATTGACCCCCCATGCAGTGCAGGAGGCTGGGGGGGGGGCACGAACACTGGCTCCTGGTCTTGGGAACCACCTGGGAGCTGTGACTCGGTTTCCCCATGAGCTCCCCAAGCCACCACCCTGGGGTGCCCCATAGCACCCCCCACAATGGGAAGTCAATACCACCCCATGGCACGCAGGCTCCCTGCAGGCTGTGGCACGGATGGGGATGCTGTGATCTCTGGGGTCCCCAGCACCTCACCAGGAACCCCCCCACCAGGCACCCAGGTCCCTGCCGTGTCCCCCCCCCTCTCCCACCAGGCCGCCCGCAGCCCCCGCCATGACGTCCTACCGGCAGGAGCTGGAGAAGTACCGGGACATCGACGAGGACAAGATCCTGCGGGAGCTGTCGGCCGAGGAGCTGGCGCAGCTGGACACGGAGCTGATGGAGATGGACCCCGAGGTGCGTGGCGGTGCTGAGCAGGGCGGGTTCCCCCCCCCACCCCGGCTGCGGGGACCCCCTTGCGGGTGACACAGTGCATCCCCAGAACGTGCTGCTGCCCGCGGGGCTGCGGCAGCGGGACCAGACGCAGAAGAGCCCGACGGGGCCCCTGGACCGCGAGGCTCTGCTGCAGCACCTCGAGAAGCAGGCGCTGGAGGCTGGCGAGCGCCAGGACCTGGTGCCCTTCACCGGCGAGAAGAAAGGTGCAGGCACACGGTGGGGAGCCTGGCGGGGGGCCGGGGGGGACAGGGCCCCGCAGCACCGGGTATATTTAGCTTGGCACAACCGTCCTCGCCAGCGGCTCGGGTGTCTTGGGCGAGCTGGGCCCCCGCCAGCCCCGGGCACAGGCATCCCCTGGCAATGTCCCCCCCCTCCCCTTCCAGCAATGACACCCCCGGTAACATCACCCCTCCGCTACAGTCACCCGAACCCCACGGAGCATCAGCCCTGGGCCAGGGCACCCAAGGGCATTGGCCCTGTGCCCCCCTGGCCCTGCCAGCCCCGGCCCCCCAGGCCATGGCTGCGTTGTCCCGGCTGCAGTGGGGCTGGGCAGGGAGTGACGGCGTCCCCACACGCAGGGAAGCCCTTTGTGCCCAAGAACCCAACGCGGGAGATCCCGCGGGAGGAGCAGATCACGCTGGAGCCCGAGCTGGAGGAGGCCCTGGCCAACGCCACCGAGGCCGAGATGTGCGACATCGCCGGTGGGTCTGGAGCGGGGCTGCCCCATCGCACCATTGCCTTGCATGGGGCTGCTGCATCACACCGCAACCCTGCATGGGGCTGCTGCATCACACCGCAACCCTGCATGGGGCTGCTGCATCACACCGCAACCCTGCATGGGGCTGCTGCATCACACCGCAACCCTGCATGGGGCTGCTGCATCACACCACAACCCTGCATGGGGCTGCTGCATCACACCACAACCCTGCATGGGGCTGCCAAATTGCACCATAACCTTGTATGGGGCTGTCCCATCACACCATTGCCTTGCATGGGGCTGCTGCATCACACCACAGCTGTACATGGGGCTGCCACATTGCACCATAACCTTGTATGGGGCTGCCCCATCGCACCACTGCCTTGCATGAGGCTGCCACATCACACCATAACCTTCACATCGCACCATAACCTTGCATGGGGCTGCTGCACGGTACCATGACCTTGCATGGGGCTGCTGCATCACACCATAACCTTGCATGGGGCTGCCACATTGCACCATTGCCTCGTATGGGGCTGCCACATCGCACATAACCTTCACATCACACCATAACCTTGCATGTGGCTGCATTAACAACCTTGCATGGGGCTGCCCCATCCCACCACAACCTTGCATGGGGCTGCCCCACCACACCACAACCTTGCATGGGGCCGCATTAACAGCCTTGCACGAGGCAGCCTCCTCACCCCGCAGCCTCCTCACACCTCGCATGTCACCCTCACCCAGGGGACTGGGGCCCCCAGCAGCCTTGCACATTGCACCGGGAGCAGCGGTGCCCTGGCCCCCTCCAGGCACACTGGGGTGGGGGGGGACACCCACTGACACCCCCCCGGCCCCGCAGCCATCCTGGGCATGTACACGCTGATGAGCAACAAGCAGTACTATGACGCCATCTGCAGCGGGACCATCTCCAACACGGAGGGCATCAACAGTGAGTGCGCTGGGGACACGGGGACAGGGCCCACGGGGTCCATGGGGCTGCTCAGGGGGGGATGCGGGGATCAGAACCCCTTTGGGACCCCCTGTGCCGGCCCCATGCCCACGGGGGGGCTGTGTGCCTGTGCCCCCGTGCGCGGTCCCGTGTCCCCCCATGCACACGCGTGTGCCCCAGGCGTGGTGAAGCCTGACACGTACAAGCCAGTGCCGGACGAGCCCCCGAATCCCACCAACGTGGAGGAGACGCTGCGGCAGATCCAGGCCAACGACGGGGCTCTGGAGGACGTCAACCTCAACAACATCAAGGTGAAGGACATTGGGGGCAGCATCCCCAAGCTGGCCCCAGGGCGCTAGGCCTGGGCTTGGGGTGTCCCCGTGGGGCTGGTCCCTATCGCAGGGCACTGGTCCTCATCCAGGGGCATCCGTGTCCCGTTAGGTGCCATCCCACATCCCCTCTGTGCTACTTACATCCCTGGGGTGACATCCAGCACCTTCCTGGGGATGCCCCTGTACCCTCAATACCACTGACACCCCCTCGGTGCCATCCTGCATCCTTGGGGATGTCCCCATCCCCTTGGTGCCACCCACACCCCCTTGCTGCAGGACATTCCTATCTCCACGCTGAAAGCCATCTGTGAGGCCATGAAAACCAACACCCACGTCAAGAAGCTCAGCCTGGTAGCCACCCGCAGCAACGACCCCGTGGCCAGCGTGAGTCCCAGCCCCGTGTCCCCACACGTCCCCAGACGGGGAGGGGATGGGGTCCCCTGCCCTGGTTTCCATCCTGGGCACCGACGAGGCCAGGTACCGGTGGCTTTTCCACCGTCACCTGGGGCATCGGTGGCCCAGGACATGCCGGATGTGGGGGTGCCACCCCGAGGTGACACCCTGAGGTGACACACAGGCCGTGGCCGAGATGCTGATGGAGAACAAGACCCTCCAGAGCCTCAACATCGAATCCAACTTCATCACCAGCACTGGCATGATGAGCATCATCAAGGCCATGTACCACAACACCACCCTTAGTGAGCTCAAGGTGGACAACCAGGTAGGAACAGGCAGCCGTGGGGTAGCCCAGGGAGGGGACAGGGGTGTCCCCAGCGTCTCAGTGTGCCTGGCGTCACTCTGGCCCCACAGTGCCAGCGCCTGGGTGACACAGTGGAGATGGAGATGGCCACCATGCTGGAGCAGTGCCCCTCCGTCGTGCGCTTTGGCTACCACTTCACCCAGCAAGGTCCCCGTGCCCGTGCTGCCATCGCCATCACCAACAACAACGAGCTCCGTGAGTGTCCCCTGCCTGCCCCCGGGGCAGCAACGGCAGTGGGGCAGGGAGTGGGGGGGGGGGGGAGCATGGTCCTGACCCCTCCTTCTTCCCTCTGCCCCCAGGGCGCAAGCAGAAGAAAACCTAAGGTGGCAGGAACGGGCTTCACAGCTCCTGCTCCCCGCTGTAAATAAAGAGGCTGGAGAGGCACGGCCTTGGGATCCACTCCTGCATCCCAGGCAGGATTTGTGCATAGGGCTGGGATGGGCTGAGGGAGGGCAATGGGGGGGGGGGCAGCAGGGGCACCCCTCTCTTGCAGGGCTCGAGGCCCTTGTTAGCCTCTGGCTGTCGTTGCACAGGGGATCCTGGATCCCTTCAGGTCAGGGCACTGACACCTGGAGGACTGAGCCCAGGAGGGGTGCAGGGATCAGGGCAACCCCCGGGGCGGGCAAGAGGCACCCCCATGGCACAGAGCCGAGCACCCACGGCCTGAGGAGGTGCTGGGGAGGGGGGGACACAACACACACGGGGCCTATTTATAGGTTCCACCACCTATTTATAGCCAGGAGCTGAGCGAACGGGAAAATCCCGGTGCCTGGAGCTACCGTCACCCTGAGCAATGCCGGCAGGGAAACCCCCAGGAACAGGGCCCGTCCCCACAGGGACCCTTGGGCGGGTGATGGCTGCTGCCCCAGGGACGTGGACGCTCAGCCCCATGCAGGACGGTCCCATAGGAGACACCCAAACCCGAGCAGGACAGGGGGAGGGCAGCGGGCGCTGGCACTCCCCGAAGCACCGGGACAGCTGCTGGGGCTGGGGACGGGGTGAACCCAGCGCTGCTGCCCCAAAAAGGCCACGAGCCACAGGCAGCTGCCAGCGTGTGAGAAAATGAGCAGGACTTGTGCCAGGGCCAGGAGGGGATGGGGCAGGGCCGGGCCAAAGCCCACGGCTGGGCTGGTGGCGCCTGCAGGGCTCTGGCCAGGATGGGGACACCCGGCGAGGGCACCACGTTGAGTCCAGGTGCCAGCAAAGCCCTTGGAGTGCCAGGACCTGCCCCAGAGGCTCAGGCACCTCCTGGGGACAGCGTGGAGAGGGGAGGGGGGGAGCCGTGCCCATGGGGAGCGCTGGGGCAGGGGTTGTGGGGGGGGGCTCACGCCGGCAGCAGCAGGGGCGGCTCCTCCTCGTCGGAGTCGAATTCAGCGTTCTCGTCCTTCACCCACTTGCCCGAGCGGTCCCGGATCCAGCCGGCGCTGGGGACGGACACAGTGAGGGCAGCTCCGGGCTGCCAGGCTCCGCCTAGGGGCCAGCGGGGCCGGCGCTCACCTCCGCAGCCTCAGGTACTGCTCCAGGGCCTGGCGCCTCTCGGGGCTGAGGGCTTCGGGCTGCCCCGGGGCTGAGGAAGCTTTGTTTCTGCGGCCGGGCGTCACCTTCACGGGGTCTGGGAGGGCAGAGAGGGGCTGTGGGGAGCCGCAGAGCCCAAGGCCGTGCAGCCCCAGAGCTGCTGCCTGGCTCTTACCTGCTTGCCCACCGCGGTGCCCCAGCAGCGCAGCTGCAGTGCTGCTGACAACAGCTTCTCCTTCCTTCTGCGACGGCTCTGCCGGCGCCGGGGCAGCACTCGGCCCCGTCCAAGCTCGTGAGCTGCTTCCCTCCACCCTGTGATGGGAGAAGGAGTCAGGGCCTCGTCCCACGAGCGCCCAACAGCAGCGAGGCCACAGTCCCCCCACCAAGGAAGCCCAGAGCTTTCCTGCATAGAATCATGGAATGGTTTGGGTTGGAAAGGACCTTGAGAGCATCCAGTTCCAACCCCCTGCCATGGGCAGGGACACCTCACACTAAACCAGGGCACCCAAGGCTCTGTCCATCCTGGTCTTGAACACTGCCAGGGATGGAGCATTCACAACCTCCCTGGGCAACCCATTCCAGTGCCTCAGCACCCTCACAGGAAAGAATTTCCTCCTTAGATCCAATCTAAACTTCCCCTGTTTCAGTTTGAACCCGTTACCCCTTGTCCTGTCACTCCAGTCCCTAATGAAGAGTCCCTCCCCAGCATCCCTATAGACTCTCTTCAGACACTGGAAGCTGCTCTGAGGTCTCCCCACAGCCTTCTCTTCTCCAGGCTGAACAGCCCCAACTTCCTCAGCCTGTCTTCATACAGGAGGTGCTCCAGTCCCTGCTCATCCTCGTGGCCTCCTCTGGACTTGTTCCAACAGTTCCATGTCCTTTTTATGTTGAGGACCCCAGAACTGCACCCAATGCTCCAGGTGAGGTCTCACAAGAGCAGACCAGAGGGGCAGGATCACCTCCATGACTGCTGCTCACGCTCCTTTTGGATGCAGCCCAGGACACGGTTGGTTTCTGGGCTGCGAGCGCTCCCTGAACCCGGCTCATGTTCAGTTTCTCATCAACCAACACCCCCAAGGCCTCCTCCGGGCTGCTCTCAATCCCTTCTCCATCTCCAGCAGTGAAAGCTCACCCCGTCCTCCGGCAGCAGCTGCTGTAGGGAGCTGCTTTCAACAGAGCACTCTGGGCAATCCTCCTTGTCCGTGCCAGAAGAGGGGCTGGGGAACCCTGGGAGGAAGGAAGCAGAGCTCAGGAAGGGGCTGGCTTGGGGTGGGTCTATATAAGGGTGACCCCCACCAACCTCTGCCTGCACCTCTTCCTTGGGCTGCAGCTTCTGCGCCGTGTCCTCACCCGAGCACTTCCTGCCATAGAAGCGCTGCAGGCCTGAAAGAGAGCAAAAGGAATGGGGGGGACACACACGGAACAGACAGGGACGTTGTTGCTCACCCCCCCTCCCCGCGCTGGCCCCCACTTACTGCTCCTGTGCTTCCTGCCAGCCCTGTGCACGCTCAGCACGTCCAGCGTGTCGAAGACGGGGCGATGGGCGCACACGGTGCAGGCGTACCTGTGCCGAGGGGGGGGTTCAGCACCACACAGCACCTTGGGGGGGGGGGGGGTGTGCTGGGGGGGGGGCACCCACCTCCCGCTCCTCAGCAGCAGCGCCTCCTCCTCGGGGATGTAGCTGGCCAAGAGGTCTGCAACGCGTCTCTTCTGGGGGGGGGCGTGGTGGGGAGGGGGTGAGCGCCCGCCCCGCCCCGCTCCGTCCCTGCTGCTGGGACCCCCCCGGCCCCCCAGCCCCGGCCCCCCTTAGGCGCTGGCACCCTGGAGACCCCGTTCTGAAGGAGCACGGGGGGGAAATGGGAGACTTGGGGGGTCGGGAAGGGGGAGTTTGGGTCCAGGGACGGGGCAATGCCGGGGAGCAGCGAGGGCCGAGGAGGGGCTTTGGGGCCCGGCGGGGGAAACCTTGAGGGGGGGGGGGCAAGGCCAAGCCGGGGCTGAGGGGGCCGGGGAAGGGCCGGGGAAGCGGGGGGTGCGTGCGGGGAGGCTGCGGCCGGTGCCGGGGTGCCCGGGGCTCACCTGCAGCACCCCGAGCTCCGCGGGGTCGTCGCCTTCCCGCTTGAAGGACATGGCGGCGGCCAGCGGTTGCTATGGGAACCGCGCTCCCCTCGCCCCGCTTCCGGGAGCGGGGGGCTCCTCCCGGCAGGCTCCGCGCGGGCGCGACAGCCAATGAGAGCGCGGGAGGGGGCGGCCGCGGCCCCGAGGCATGATGGGAGTTGTAGTTCCGCCGCGCGTCCCCCGGGGGGGTCTGGGTTAGAACCGCGCCCCCCCCGGGGCCAGGGAGCGGGCGGGTTCAGGCCCGGGGGTGCGGGGAGGACCCCGGGGTGGGGGTGAGGGCAGCGGCGCCATCCCCCGAGGCGCGGCGGAGGTCCCCGGCTTCGTCTCGAACTACAACTCCCAGAGGCCTCCGCGAGGGCGGCCGGGCCGGGCCGGGCCGGGCCATGGCGTCTCTGCATTCACCGGGGCCCGGAGGGCGCCCGGTGGCAGCGGCGGGGCCGGGCCTGCCCCCGTGAGCGGCGGCCGCAGCGCGGACCGGGGCTGTTCCATGAGCCCCCGGCGGCGGAGGGAGCGGGGGCGGAGCGGAGCGGGGCCGTCCGGCCATGGCGGCGGGGAGCGGGGCCCCGGGAGCCTCGGCCCGGGAGCACCGCCTGCAGCCCGGGGACACGCTGCCGGGGCTGGCGCTGCGCTACGGGGTGACGGTGAGCGCCGTGCGGGTGCCCGGGGGCCGGAGGGGGACAGAGGCGGCCCCGACCCAACGGGGCCATCGCTGCCTCCCCCCTGTTCACTGCCCTTGTCCCCATCCCGCCCTTATCCTTGTTCTCATCCCATCCTTATCCCTGTTCCATCCCCATCCTTGTCCTTGTCCCCATCCCATCCTTACCCTGTTCTCATCCCATCCTTGTCCCCATCCCATCTCTACCCCTGTTCTCATCCCATCCTTGCCCTTGCTCCCGTCCCATCCTTACCCCTGTCCTCATCCCATCCTTGTCCTCATCCCATCCTTGTCCTCATCCCATCCTCACCCCTGTCCCCATCCCATCCTTGTCCTTGTCCTCATCCTATCCTTACCCCTGTCCCCATCCCATCCTTACCCCTGTCCCCATCCCATCCTTGCCCTTGTCCCCATCCCCACCCTTACCCCGCCCCGGCAGATGGAGCAGATCAAGCGCGCCAACCGCCTCTACACCTCGGACACCATCTTCCTCAAGCCCACCCTGCTCATCCCCGTGCCGGGGCAGCCGAGGGGACCCTGTCCCGAGGACAAGGACGCGCCCGCCCCGTCGGGGGGTGCCCCGGCTGCCCCCGCCGTGCCCCGCCACGACCTCTCGGCCACCGCTTTCCTGCAGCAGCTCGATGCCGAGATCGGGCGCTCCAAGGCGGCGGCAGCGGCGGCGGTGGCGGTGGCAGCGCAGCGGCTCCGCACCGGCAGCACCGGGTGAGCCCCCCCGGCCCCGACCCCTTTAGGGGGTAACCGGGCTCTTGTGGGAGGGGGTTTGTCCGCAGGGGGCAAGGCCACCCCCTCAGTGCCACCCCCTGCACCCCTGCAGCGCAGCGCAGGTTGAAGGCACTCAGAGCCCGGAGGCCAGGGCCCCAACGGCCCCCCAGGGCCCCCGCCTCGGCCCCAGGCCCCTCACCAGGACCCCTCGGGCGGCCGCGCTCCGCGATGCAGAGGATGAGATCTTCACGCTGTGATGCTGGGGACACCGGGGCTGCGACGTGGTGATGACGGCCACGGGGATCCCGGGACACCCCGGCACGCAGCCCCTGCTGCACATAGGGGTGGGGACCCAGGGATGCGGGGAGGGCTGGGACGTGGTGTCCTTTCCTTCTCTCTTTCAAGGGACCTTTCCTGCTGCAGGGCCCCCCAGCGCCTGGTGGCAGAGGCAGCCTCCTTGCGGGAGTACCGGGGGATGGCACCGGGAGCTACTGGACAAGATTTACCAGCAGACACTTCCCTTCTGGTTGTATTTATCTGTACGGTCTTTGGTCTCTGGGGTGGGACCCCAGTGCCTGCGCCCGCATGGGGAGGGGGACGGCACCTCCCGCCCCAGAGCCTGTAAATAAACTGGAGCACTGTTACCTGCCTCTGCCTCTTTGTCACAGCCGGGTCTCCCCCACAACCCCCCTGGGGACGCGGTCACCCTCCTCGGGATGGGGACGTGGTTGACCCCTTGGGACCGTGGTAACCCCATGGGGCCATGGGCAGCACCCTGGGGACAGCGGCACCTTGCAGGGGATTTGGTCGCCCCCTGAGGGTGCTGTCACCCCGCAGGGACACGATCTGGGGACCCGCTCATGCCCCCCGGGGCTGCGGCACCCACTCGGGGCACCCGCGGGACCTGGGTGCCACGCCGCGCAGTGCCACCAGGGGTCACCCTGAGCCCGCACCCCTGGGCCCCCCAGGCACCCACCGGAGCCTCAGGGGTGTCCCCAGGGCCACCTAACACCCACCCCCCCCCACCCCGGATGTCCCCAGGGTCCCTCTGTCCCCCGTGGGGGAGGCCGGTGGCAGTTGAGGGCAGGAGGGTGAGTGCCACATGGGGGAGCTCGGTGCTCCCAGTAACAACCAGTGGCTCCCAGTGCCCACTGGGGCAAGTGCACAGGGCTGTGCAGAGAGCCACAGGCTGCTGCGGGAGAGGGGACGGGGGGGACACGGAGGTGACAGCCCCACTGCACGCCCAAGGGTCTCTGCACGTGTGCATGGATGTGCATGGCATGTGCATGGACGTGCATGGCATGTGCATGGAAATGCATGGATGTGCATCGTATGTGCATGGATGTGCATTGCATGTGCATGGATGTGCATCGCATGTGCATGGACGTGCATGGCATGTGCATGGATGTGCATCGCATGTGCATCGCATGTGCATCGCATGTGCATCGCATGTGCATGGGCGTGCATCGCATGTGCATGGATGTGCATCGCATGTGCATGGATGTGCATGGAAATGCATGGGCGTGCATCGTATGTGCATGGGTGTGCATTGCATGTGCAGGGATGCGCATCGCACGTGCATGGACGTGCATTGCATATGCAGGGATGTGCATTGCATGCGCATGGATGTGCATTGCATGCGCATGAATATGCATGGATGTGCATCGCATGTGCATGGATCTGCATGGCATGTGCATGGCATGTGCATGGATCTGCATGGCATGTGCATGGATCTGCATGGATGTGCATCGCATGTGCATCGCATGTGCATCGCATGTGCATGGATGTGCATCGCATGTGCATGGATGTGCATGGATGTGCATTGCATGTGCCTGGATGTGCATCGCATGTGCCTGGATGTGCATCGCATGTGCATGGATGTGCATGGATGTGCATCGCATGTGCATGGATCTGCATCGCATGTGCATCGCATGTGCATGGATCTGCATCGCATGTGCATGGATCTGCATGGATGTGCATCGCATGTGCATGGATGTGCATGGATGTGCATCGCATGTGCATGCACACGCGTATGCGAGCAGCGCTCAGCCGCTAATGAGGATCATGTCATTAGCGGGGATTAACGCCTATCTATAGGGTGGCCTCCGCTGGCAGCGGGGCCGGGACACGAGGTCCCCGGTCCCGCCCCCGGCCCCGCTCCGGCTCCCGGCCCGTCCCGGCCCGTTCCGGGGCGGAGCCGCTCGGGGCTGCTCGGGACCGCTCGGGGCGCGGAGCCGGTACCGAGAGCGGGGGGGTCGGGGCGGGAGGGGCGTTGTTGGGGTGCGGATGTGGGGGGGGTCCTGTGAGAGTTGGGGTGATGTGGGGGGTGCTTGGGGCGCTGTGCGGGACGCGGGGGTGCTGGGGGGTGCTTGTGGGCACTGGGAGCGCTGGGACGGGGGCACAGAGGCACTGAAATGGGGGCACTGGGACCGTCGGGAGGGGGCACCAGGAGGGGGATATGGGGACACTGAAAAGGGGGCACTGGGATGGGGATATGGGGACACTGAAAAGGGGGCGCTGGGATGGGGATATGGGGACACTGAAAAGGGGGCACTGGGACCGTCGGGAGGGGGCACCAGGAGGGGGATATGGGGACACTGAAAAGGGGGCACTGGGACCACTGGGAGGGGGCACCAGGATGGGGATATGGGGACACTGACAAGGGGGCACTGGGACCACTGGGAGGGGGCACCAGGAGGGGGATACGGGGACACTGAAGCGGGGGCACTGGGACCATCGGGAGGGGGCACCAGGATGGAGATATGGGGACACTGAAACGGGGCATTGGGACCATCGGGAGGAGGCACCAGGATGGGGATACGGGGGCCTTGGGATGGGGATACGGGGACACTGAAGCGGGGTCACTGGGACTATCGGGAGGGGGCACCAGGACGGGAATATGGGGACACTGAAAAGGGGGCACTGGGATGGGGATACGGGGACACTGAAACGGGGGCGCTGGGACCACTGGGAGGGGGCACCAGGATGGGGATACGGGGGCCCTGGGATGGGGATACGGGGACACTGAAACGGGGGCACTGGGACCATCGGGAGGGGGCACCAGGATGGGGATATGGGGACACTGAAAAGGGGGCACTGGGATGGGGATACGGGGACACTGAAAAGGGGGCACTGGGACCACTGGGAGGGGGCACCAGGATGGGGATACGGGGCCCTGGGATGGGGATACGGGGACACTGAAGCGGGGGCACTGGGACCACCGCGGGGAGCAGGCACCGGAGATCCCATCCCCGCACTGGGGGATCCCCGCATCGCCCCCTCCCCAGCGCTGCCCTGTGCCCCCCGATCCCCCCCCGCCGGCCCCCCCGGGCCTCAGTTTCCCCTCTGAGATCAGCCCCCTTCAGCCCTGCGCGGCGATGCCGGGGCTCCCCCTGCCTCTCCTCCTCCTCCTCCTCCTCCTCCTCCCCGCCGGCCCCCCCCTGCTCTGGGCGCAGCCCTTCCCTCGGGACCTGGTTCCCCGCAGCACCGTGGGGCTCGCAGGTGAGCGGCGGGAGCGGGGTGCGGGTCCCCGGGGGATGGACGGGAGGGGGGGGGGTGTCACGAACCCCTCTGCCCCCGCAGCCACCGCCGCCTACCCCCGGTTCGGGGGCCTCCGGGGGGACAACGCCACGGCGCAGCTCGGCCTCGACTTCCAGCGCATGCTGCGGCTCAACGGCACCCTCTTCGTGGCTGCCCGGTGAGCGCCGGGGCGGCTGCGGAGGGACCCGCGCGGCCGTGGGGGTGCGAGCTCCGCACCCCGCTCTGGGCTTGTCTGGGGCTGGGCGAGCTCCTGTGCGCTGGTGTCTGCTGGGGCATCCCTGTGTGTGCTGGGGCATCCCTGTGTCTGCTGGGACATCCCTGTGTGTGCTGGGACATCCCTGTGTGTGCTGGGACATCCCTGTGCGTGCTGGGGCATCCTTGTGTGTGCTGGAGCATCCCTGTGTGTGCTGGGACATCCCTGTGTGTGCTGGGACATCCCTGTGTGTGCTGGAGCATCCCTGTGTGTGCTGGGGCATCCCTGTGTGTGCTGGGACATCCCTGTGTGTGCTGGGGCATCCCTGTGTGTGCTGGGGCATCCTTGTGTGTGCTGGAGCATCCCTGTGTGTGCTGGAGCATCCCTGTGCGTGCTGGGACATCCCTGTGTGTGCTGGAGCATCCCTGTGTGTGCTGGAGCATCCCTGTGCGTGCTGGGACATCCCTGTGTGTGCTGGGGCATCCCTGTGTGTGCTGGGACATCCCTGTGCGTGCTGGAGCATCCCTGTGTGTGCTGGGGCATCCCTGTGTGTGCTGGGGCACCCCTGTGTGTGCTGGAGCATCCCTGTGTGTGCTGGGGCATCCTTGTGCGTGCTGGGGCATCCCTGTGTGTGCTGGGGCATCCCTGTGTGTGCTGGGGCATCCCTGTGTGTGCTTGTGTGTGCTGGAGCATCCCTGTGCGTGCTGGAGCATCCCTGTGTGTGCTGGAGCATCCTTGTGTGTGCTGGGACATCCCTGTGTGTGCTGGGGCATCCCTGTGTGTGCTGGGGCATCCTTGTGTGTGCTGGAGCATCCCTGTGTGTGCTTGTGTGTGCTGGAGCATCCCTGTGTGTGCTGGAGCATCCCTGTGCGTGCTGGAGCATCCCTGTGTGTGCTGGAGCATCCTTGTGTGTGCTGGGACATCCCTGTGTGTGCTTGTGTGTGCTGGGACATCCCTGTGTGTGCTTGTGTGTGCTGGAGCATCCCTGTGCGTGCTGGAGCATCCCTGTGTGTGCTGGAGCATCCCTGTGTGTGCTGGGACATCCCTGTGTGTGCTGGGGCATCCCTGTGTGTGCTGGGGCATCCCTGTGTGTGCTGGGACATCCCTGTGTGTGCTGGGACATCCCTGTGTGTGCTTGTGTGTGCTGGAGCATCCCTGTGCGTGCTGGAGCATCCCTGTGCGTGCTGGAGCATCCCTGTGCGTGCTGGAGCATCCCTGTGCGTGCTGGGACATCCCTGTGTGTGCTTGTGTGTGCTGGAGCATCCCTGTGCGTGCTGGAGCATCCCTGTGCGTGCTGGAGCATCCCTGTGTGTGCTGGGACATCCCTGTGTGTGCTGGGGCATCCCTGTGTGTGCTGGGGCATCCCTGTGTGTGCTGGGACATCCCTGTGCGTGCTGGAGCATCCCTGTGTGTGCTGGAGCATCCCTGTGTGTGCTGGGGCATCCCTGTGTGCGCTGGGACATCCCTGTGTGTGCTGGAGCATCCCTGTGTGTGCTGGAGCATCCCTGTGTGTGCTGGAGCATCCCTGTGTGTGCTGGGGCATCCCTGTGTGTGCTGGGACATCCCTGTGTGTGCTGGGGCATCCCTGTGTGTGCTGGGGCATCCCTGTGTGTGCTGGGGCATCCCTGTGTGTGCTGGGGCATCCCTGTGTGTGCTTGTGTGTGCTGGAGCATCCCTGTGCGTGCTGGAGCATCCCTGTGTGTGCTGGAGCATCCTTGTGTGTGCTGGGACATCCCTGTGTGTGCTGGGGCATCCCTGTGTGTGCTGGGGCATCCTTGTGTGTGCTGGAGCATCCCTGTGTGTGCTTGTGTGTGCTGGAGCATCCCTGTGTGTGCTGGAGCATCCCTGTGCGTGCTGGAGCATCCCTGTGTGTGCTGGAGCATCCTTGTGTGTGCTGGGGCATCCCTGTGTGTGCTTGTGTGTGCTGGAGCATCCCTGTGTGTGCTGGAGCATCCCTGTGCGTGCTGGAGCATCCCTGTGTGTGCTGGAGCATCCTTGTGTGTGCTGGAGCATCCCTGTGCGTGCTGGGGCATCCCTGTGTGTGCTGGGACATCCCTGTGTGTGCTGGAGCATCCCTGTGTGTGCTGGGACATCCCTGTGTGTGCTGGAGCATCCCTGTGTGTGCTGGGGCATCCCTGTGTGTGCTGGGGCATCCTTGTGTGTGCTGGGGCATCCCTGTGTGTGCTGGGGCATCCCTGTGTGTGCTGGAGCATCCCTGTGCGTGCTGGAGCATCCCTGTGTGTGCTGGAGCATCCCTGTGTGTGCTGGGACATCCCTGTGTGTGCTGGGGCATCCCTGTGTGTGCTGGGGCATCCCTGTGTGTGCTGGGACATCCCTGTGCGTGCTGGAGCATCCCTGTGTGTGCTGGAGCATCCCTGTGCGTGCTGGGACATCCCTGTGTGTGCTGGAGCATCCCTTTGTGTGCTGGAGCATCCCTGTGCGTGCTGGAGCATCCCTGTGTGTGCTGGAGCATCCCTGTGTGTGCTGGGACATCCTTGTGTGTGCTGGGACATCCCTGTGTGTGCTGGAGCATCCCTGTGTGTGCTGGAGCATCCCTGTGTGTGCTGGGGCATCCCTGTGTGTGCTGGGACATCCCTGTGTGTGCTGGGACATCCCTGTGTGTGCTGGAGCATCCCTGTGTGTGCTGGGGCATCCCTGTGTGTGCTGGGACATCCCTGTGTGTGCTGGGACATCCCTGTGTGTGCTGGAGCATCCCTGTGTGTGCTGGGGCATCCTTGTGTGTGCTGGGGCATCCCTGTGTGTGCTGGGGCATCCTTGTGTGTGCTGGGACATCCCTGTGTGTGCTTGTGTGTGCTGGAGCATCCCTGTGTGTGCTGGGACATCCCTGTGTGTGCTGGAGCATCCTTGTGTGTGCTTGTGTGTGCTGGAGCATCCCTGTGTGTGCCGGGGCATCCCTGTGTGTGCTGGGACATCCCTGTGTGTGCTGGAGCATCCCTGTGTGTGCTGGGGCATCCCTGTGTGTGCTGGGACATCCCTGTGTGTGCTGGAGCATCCCTGTGTGTGCTGGGACATCCCTGTGTGTGCTTGTGTGTGCTGGAGCATCCCTGTGTGTGCTGGGACATCCCTGTGTGTGCTGGGACATCCCTGTGTGTGCTGGAGCATCCCTGTGTGTGCTGGGACATCCCTGTGTGTGCTGGGGCATCCCTGTGTGTGCTGGGACATCCCTGTGTGTGCTGGAGCATCCCTGTGTGCGCTGGAGCATCCCTGTGTGCGCTGGGGCATCCTTGTGTGTGCTGGGACATCCCTGTGTGTGCTGGGGCATCCCTGTGTGCGCTGGGGCATCCTTGTGTGTGCTGGGACATCCCTGTGTGTGCTGGGGCATCCCTGTGTGTGCTGGGACATCCTTGTGTGTGCTGGAGCATCCCTGTGTGTGCTGGGGCATCCCTGTGTGTGCTGGGGCATCCCTGTGTGTGCTGGAGCATCCCTGTGTGTGCTGGAGCATCCCTGTGTGTGCTGGGACATCCCTGTGTGTGCTGGAGCATCCCTGTGTGCGCTGGGGCACACTCACGCCTCCCCCCAGGGACCACATCTACGCCTTCGACCTGGGGCAGGACAAGGGGACGCTGTACCCGGAGCGGGTAAGGGGGCTGGGGACCCCCCCCCCACAGGGTAAAGGGGAATTGGGGTCCCTGAGCCCACCCCCCCCATCTGGCCCCACAGCACCTGACCTGGGAGACCCGGGACAGGGCCAACTGCGCCATGCGGGGCCGGCTGCAGGTATGGGGGTGCGGGCACGGGGGGGGTTAGGGGCAGAGCGGCAATGGGGGGGTATATGGGGGGTGCTGGGGTTTGGGGGTACAGGTGGAGGTGGTGAGGTAGGGGGTACGAGGGTACAGAGATAGAGGTTTATGGGGTACAGGTGTATTGGTGCGGGGTACAGCATGTGGGGGGTGGTAGTGAATGGAATGGGGGTACAGGGTATGGGGGTGCGATGGGGTACATGGGACGGGGGTACAGGGTATGGAGGTGCAATGGGGTGCATGGAATGTGGGTACAGGGTATGGGGGTGCAATGGGGTTCATGGAACGGGGGTACAGGGTATGGAGGTGCAATGGGGTACCTGGAATGGGGGTACAGGGTATGGAGGTGCAATGGGGTACCTGGAATGGGGGTACAGGGTATGGAGGTGCAATGGGGTACCTGGAATGGGGGTACAGGGTATGGAGGTGCAATGGGGTACATGGAACAGGGGTACAGGGTATGGGGGTGCAATGGGGTACATGGAATGTGGGTACAGGGTATGGAGGTGCGATGGGGTACATGGAATGTGGGTACAGGGTATGGGGGTGTGATGGGGTACATGGAACGGCTGGTACAGGGTATGGGGGTGCAATGGGGTACATGGAACGGGGGGTACAGGGTATGGGGGTGCAATGGGGTACCTGGAACAGGGGTACAGGGTATGGGGGCGTAATGGGGTACATGGAATGTGGGTACAGGGTATGGAGGTGCAATGGGGTACCTGGAACAGGGGTACAGGGTATGGGGGTGCAATGGGGTGCATGGAACGGGGGGTACAGGGTATGGAGGTGCAATGGGGTGCATGGAATGGGGGTACAGGGTATGGAGGTGCAATGGGGTGCATGGAATGGGGGTACAGGGTATGGAGGTGCAATGGGGTACCTGGAACAGGGGTACAGGGTATGGGGGCGCAATGGGGTTCATGGAACGGGGGGTACAGGGTATGGAGGTGCAATGGGGTACATGGAACGGGGGTACAGGGTATGGGGGTGCAATGGGGTTCATGGAACGGGGGGTACAGGGTATGGAGGTGCAATGGGGTGCATGGAATGGGGGTACAGGGTATGGAGGTGCAATGGGGTGCATGGAATGGGGGTACAGGGTATGGAGGTGCAATGGGGTACCTGGAACGGGGGTACAGGGTATGGAGGTGCAATGGGGTGCATGGAATGGGGGTACAGGGTATGGATGTGCAATGGGGTACATGGAATGTGGGTACAGGGTATGGAGGTGCAATGGGGTACCTGGAATGTGGGTACAGGGTATGGGGGCGCAATGGGGTGCATGGAATGGGGGGTACAGGGTATGGAGGTGCAATGGGGTACATGGAATGTGGGTACAGGGTATGGGGGTGCAATGGGGTGCATGGAACGGGGGGTACAGGGTATGGAGGTGCGATGGGGTACCTGGAACGGGGGTACAGGGTATGGGGGCGCAATGGGGCACATGGAACAGGGGTACAGGGTATGGGGGCGCAATGGGGCACATGGAACGGGGCCATGGGGTAAAGCTGTGTCAGGTTGTGTGCTGCGGGGGGTGCGGAATGTGGGGGGGTCACCAGGGACGGGGTCGGGGCAGGGGAAGGTGGTGACGCCGCGGCCCCCGCCTGCCCCGGCGCAGGATGAGTGCCACAACTACATCAGGGTGCTGGTGCCCCGCGACGCCCGCACCCTCCTGGCCTGCGGCACCAACGCCTTCAGCCCCCTCTGCCGCACCTACAAGGTGGGGGTCCGGGGGTCCTGAGCTGGGGCAAGGGGGGGGGGTCTCAGCTCTGGGGGGGCTGTGACCGCTGTGCCCCCCCCCAGGTGAGCAGCCTGGAGCAGGAGGGTGAGGACGTGAGCGGCCAGGCCCGGTGCCCCTTTGACGCCCAGCAGAGCATCGTCGCCCTCTTTGTTGGTGGGTGCTGGACCGGGGTCGGGGGATATGGGGGGATATGGGGGGGGGCAGCACTGGGGTGATGCTGGGGTCTCCCCCTGCAGACGGCAGCCTCTACTCCGCCACCGTGGCCGACTTCCAGGCGAGCGATGCTGTGATTTACCGCAGCCTCAGCCCCGGCCGCCCGCCCCTGCGCACCCTCAAGTACAGCTCCCGCTGGCTGCAGGGTACCCAAAGGGGTCCCGGACCGGGGGGGGTGATGGGGGCACAGCGGGGAGGGGGGGTCTGGGGGTAAAGGGGAGGGGATGAGTGCAGGGATTGGGAGCAGCTCTGAGGGAAGGACTTGGGGGTGTTGGTTGATGAGAAACTGAACATGAGCCGGGTTCAGGGAGCGCTCGCAGCCCAGAAACCAACCGTGTCCTGGGCTGCATCCAAAGGAGCGTGACCAGCAGTCATGGAGGTGATCCTGCCCCTCTGCTCTGCTCCGGTGGGACCTCACCTGGAGCATTGTGTGCAGTTCTGGGGTCCTCAACATAAAGAGGACATGGAACTGTTGGAACAAGAAAAGAGGAGGCCACGAGGATGAGCAGGGGCTGGAGCACCTCCTGTATGGAGACAGGCTGAGGAAGTTGGGGCTGTTCAGCCTGGAGAAGAGAAGCTGCGGGGAGACCTCAGAGCAGCTTCCAGTGTCTGAAGGGGGGCTATAGGGATGGTGGGGATGGACTCTTCATTAGGGACTGCAGTGACAGGACAAGGGGTAACGGGTTCAAACTGAAACAGGGGAGGTTTAGATTGGATCTAAGGAGGAAATTCTTTCCTGTGAGGGTGCTGAGGCACTGGAATGGGTTGCCCAGGGAGGTTGTGAATGCTCCATCCCTGGCGGTGCTCAAGGCCAGGTTGGACAGAGCCTTGGGTGCCCTGGTTTAGTGTGAGGTGTCCCTGCCCATGGCAGGGGGTTGGATCTGGATGATCTTCAGGTCCTTTCCAACCCCCCCCATTCCATGGTTCCACATGGGACAAGGATGGGAGCTGATGGTGGCTGAACCCCACCCCCCCTCCCCTCCCTCCCCAGAGCCCCACTTTGTGCAGGTGCTGCCCTACGGCCCCTTCGTCTACTTCTTCTTCCGGGAGGTGTCGGTGGAGCTGCGGGCCATGGGCAAGGTGGGCGCGGGGGCCATGGGTGCCCACGGCCGCGGGGCCGCGTGGGGCTGACGGCCGCCGGTGCTGGCGCAGGTGCTGGTGGCGCGCGTGGCCCGCGTGTGCCGCAACGACGGCGGCGGCTCGGCGCGGGTGCTGGAGCGGCGCTGGACCTCGTTCCTCAAGGTGCGGCTGCTCTGCGCCATCCCCGGAGACTCCGTCTTCGCCTTCGACGTCCTGGAGGCTGTGACCCCACCAAGGGCCCTGCGCGGCCGAGCTGCGGTGCTCGCACTCTTCGGCACCCAGCCCAACAGGCACGGGAGGGGGGCAAGGGGAGGGGGATGTGGGGATGGGGATGGGGATGTGGGGATGGGGTTGTGGGGATGGGGATGGGGGCACAGGGATGGGGATGGGGATACAGGGATGTGGGGATGGAGATGTGGGGATGGAGATGTGGGGATGGAGATGTGGGGATGGAGATGTGGGGATGGAGATGTGGGGATGGAGATGTGGGGATGGAGATGTGGGGATGGGGATGTGAGGATGGGGATACAGGGATGGGGATACGAGGATGTGGGGATGGGAATGTGGGGATGGGGATGTGAGGGTGGGGACAGGGGGATGGGGAGATGGGGATGTGAGGATAGGGATACAGGGATGGGGATATGGGGATGGGGACACGGGGATGGGGATACGAGGATGGGGATATAGGGATGGGGATACAGGGATGGGGATATGGGGATGGGGACATGGGGATGGGGATACGAGGATAGGGATATGGGGATGGGGACACAGGGATGGGGATACAGGGATGGGGACATGGGGATGGGGATGTGGGGATGGGGATATGGCGATGGGGACACGGGGATGGGGATACGAGGATGGGGACATGGGGATGGGATCTTGTGGAGGACATGTGGTTGGCCAAGGGGAGATGGGGAGCAGGCATGGGGGGACATTGAGACATGAGGTTCATGGTGAGGCCATGGGGATGGAGCCCCAGTGGGTCAGGACCCGGGGACAGAGACCTCGGGGACCAGCAGGAAGGGACCAGCAGGGACTTGGAGGGTCCCTGGGCAACCCCAGACCCCCCCCCGGCCCCCCTGCAGCATCCCCGGCTCCGCCGTCTGCGCCTTCTACCTGGCGGACGTGGAGCGGGCGTTCGAGGGCCCCTTCGCTGAGCCCCGCGGTGCCGCCGGCGCCTGGACCCCGGTGCCCGAGGAACGGGTGCCCCAGCCCAGGTACCCCCGGGGACTCCCGGGTCCCGTCCGCCCCGGTGCCGCGGCTCCTGCCCCACGGTGCCCCCGTTGTGCCGCAGGCCCGGCTGCTGCGCTGGGATGGGAGCGGCCGCGGGCATCAGCACCTCCGGGGACTTCCCGGATGAGACCTTGGCCTTCGCCAAGGAGCATCCCCTGCTGCACGGGGCCGTGGAGCCCGCGGGAGGGCGGCCCCTGTTCACCCGCACCGGCACCAGGTGAGCGGTGGGGGGCTTCGGGGATGGGGGGCCATGGTTTGGGGGTGGGAGCTGCGGGAGCATCCGTGTGTGAGGGGTGTGGGTGCTGCAGGAGCATCCATGTGCGAGGGGTGCGGGTGCTGTGCAAGGGGTGCAGGTGCTGCAGGAGCATCCCTGTGCGAGGGGTGCGGGTGCTGTGCAAGGGGTGCAGGTGCTGCAGGAGGGGTTCGGGTGCTGCAGGAGGGATGCGGGTGCTGCAGGAGGGGTGCGGGTGCTGCAGGAGGGGTGCGGGTGCTGCGGGAGGGATGCGGGTGCTGCAGGAAGGGTGCGGGTGCTGCGGGAGGGATGCGGGTGCTGCAGGAGCATCCCTGTGCGAGGGGTGCGGGTGCTGCGGGAGGGATGCGGGTGCTGCAGGAGGGATGCGGGTGCTGCAGGAGGGGTGCAGGTGCTGCAGGAAGGGTGCGGGTGCTGCGGGAGGGGTGCAGGTGATGCGGGAAGGGTGCAGGTGATGCAGGAAGGGTGCGGGTGCTGCAGGAAGGGTGCGGGTGCTGCGGGAGGGATGCGGGCGCTGCAGGAGGGGTTCGGGTGCTGCAGGGGCATCCCTGTGCGAGGGGTGCGGATGCTGCAGGAGGGATGTGGGTGCTGCAGGAGGGGTGCAGGTGCTGCAGGAGGGATGCGGGTGCTGCAGGAGGGGTGCGGGTGCTGCAGGAGCATCCCTGTGCGAGGGGTTCCGTGCTCGGTGCTGCGCAGGCTGACGCGGCTGGCGGTGGACACGGGCGCGGGGCCCTGGAGGAACCGGACCGTGCTCTTCCTGGGTGCGGAGGACGGGCGGGTGCTGAAGGTGCTGCTGGCGGCGCAGCAGCCCCCCGCGGGCACCCCGGCACCCGGTGACAGCGACGGGGACCCCGGCTCTGAGGCGCTGCTGCTGGAGGAGATCAGCCTCTATGACCCCAAGCGGTGAGGGCCGGGCAATGGGTGCCGAGGGGCTCATGGGTGCCATTGGGCTGTGGGTGAAGTCATGATGGGTGCCATGGGGCTGTGGGTGCCATGGGGCTGTGGGTGAAGTCATGATGGGTGTCATGGGGCTGTGGGTGCCATGCGGCTGTGGGTGAAGTCATCATGGGTGCCATGGGGCTATGGGGCAGTCACTCTGGGTGCTATGGGGCTATGGGGCAGTCACTCTGGGTGCTATGGGGCAGTCACTCTGGGTGCCATGGGGCTATGGGGCTATGGGTGCCGTGGGTCATTCATGCCCGGTGCCATGGGGCTATGGGGCAGTCACTGGGTGCTATGGGGCTATGGGGCAGTCACTCTGGGTGCTATGGGGCTATGGGTCAGTCACTCTGTGGGGCTATGGGGCTATGGGTAAGTCCCTCTGGGTGCTATGGGTGCCGTGGGTCAGTCACTCTGTGTGCCATGGGGCTATGGGTCAGTCACTCTGGGTGCTATGGGTGCCGTGGGTCAGTCCCTCTGGGTGCCATGGGGCTATGGGTGCCGTGGGGCTATGGGTCAGTCACTCTGTGGGGCTATGGGGCTATGGGTCAGTCCCTCTGGGTGCCATGGGGCTATGGGTGCTATGGGTCAGTCCCTCTGGGTGCCGTGGGGCTATGGGGCTATGGGGCTATGGGTCAGTCACTCTGGGTGCCATGGGGCTATGGGTGCCGTGGGGCTATGGGTGCCGTGGGTCATTCACTCTGGGTGCTATGGGGCTATGGGTCAGTCACTCTGTGTGTTATGGGGCTATGGGTCAGTCACTCTGGGTGCCATGGGGCTATGGGGCTATGGGTGCCGTGGGTCAGTCCCTCTGGGTGCCATGGGGCTATGGGTCATTCACTCTGGGTGCTATGGGGCTATGGGTCATTCACTCTGGGTGCTATGGGGCAGTCACTCTGGGTGCTATGGGTGCCGTGGGTCAGTTACTCTGTGTGCTATGGGGCTATGGGTCAGTCACTCTGGGTGCTATGGGTGCCGTGGGTCAGTCCCTCTGGGTGCCGCCGTGTTGCCGCAGGTGCCGGGGCCGGCGCGGTGCGAGCCGGGTGCTGGGGCTGGAGCTGCACGGGCCGGGCCGGGAGCTCTTCGTGGCCTTCGCGGGGTGCTTGGTTCGCCTGCCCCTGGCGCGCTGCGCCCAGCACGGGGCCTGCCGGAGGTGAGCGGGGCCCAGCGGGGCTGGGGGGCGGCGGAGGGGGGGAGGGGGGGGGGGGGCACCCACGGGGGCGGCTCCGGGACCTCGCTCCCATCCCCCCCCCCCAGGAGCTGCGTGGCCGCGCGGGACCCGTACTGCGCGTGGCTGCCCCCCGACGGCTGCGTCCCCGCCCCCGAGCACCTCCCGTGAGTGCCCCCTCCCCTCCCCCACATCCCCATCCCCCCCTCCCCCCGGTCCCCTCCCCCCCGGGCCGGGGCTGACGCGGCCCCGTCCCGCTGCGAGCCAGGAGCGGCCTCGAGGAGGGCGCGGACGGAGCCGTCGGGAGGTGCCCAGGTGAGGGGGGGGGAGGGGAAGGGGGGAGGGGGGGGATGGGGGATGGGGGATGGGGGGGGAGGACCCGCGGGTGCCCTGGGGTGACCCCGGGCTGCTCCCACAGAGCCGGCGGGGGACGGGGACGGGAACGGGGACGGGGACGGGAACGGAGCCCACGGTGAGTGACGGCCCCGCCCCCCGGCACGGAGTGGGAGGGACCGGGGGGGGAGGAGCTTGGGGTGGGCGGGGCCAGAGAGAGGGGGGAGGAGCCTGAGGTGGGCGAGGGCCACAAGGAGCGGTGGGGGAGCCTGGGGTGGGCGGGGCCAGAGAGAAGGGGGAGGAGCCTGTGGTGGGCGTGGAAACAGGGTGCGGTGGAGGAGCCTGGGGTGGGCGGGGCCAGAGAGAGAGGGGGCGGAGCCTGGGGTGGGCGTGGAAACAGTATGCGGGGGGAGGAGCCTGTGGTGGTGGGCGGGGCCAGAGAGAGGGGGCGGAGCCTGTAGGTGTGGGAGGAGCCAAGGAGCGACCCCGGGGGCACCCAGGGACAGGGGTTGGGGGGGGTCCCGGTTCCCAGCGCTGGGTGCTCCGGGCGCTGACGCTGCCCCCGCAGGGGTTCCCGGGCCCGGAGCGGGCCCCGCCGCGGTGCCGGTGCCGGTGCTGCTGGGTTCGGTGCTCGGCGCCTTCGCTCTGGGCGCGGTGGCCGCGGGGCTGCTCTCGGCCTCCTGCCGCCGCCCCCCCAAGCCGCCCCCCGCCGCCCCCCGCCTCTGCCCCGCGCTGCCCCCGGAGCCTCCGCAGCGCGGCCCCCACCGGTGCCTGGAGCCCGCGGGGCCGGGACCCCCCCCCCCCCATCCCGGGGCCGCGCTGGAGGAGCTGCGGCAGCGCCCGGGGGGCTCGGGGCTGCCCCCCCCGCCCGGCCCCGGCTCCTTGAACCGGGTCCAGCCCCGCGGCCCCGGCCCGCAGCGCCTGGACGTGCCCCCCGACAGCCCCCCCCCGGCCCGCAGAGCCCTGGCCCAGCGGCGCTCGCTGGAGGGGGGGCTCCCCCGCAGGACCCCCGGCCCGGAGCGGGGCCTCACCCGCATGCACTCGATGGGGGGGCCCGGAGCCCTGCACCGCTCCTGCTCCGTGAAGCCCCCGCTGCTGCCCAAGCCCCTGCAGGCGCCGGCAGCCCCCGGCTGGCCCTGAGCCCCCCCCGGTGCTTTGCCCTGCGCTGACCCCGTCCCCAGGGGTTTCCTTTGCCCGTTTTTGGGGGGTTTTGATCGTTTCTAATTTATTTGGTGCTTTGGATGGGGCGGGGGGGGGGGGGAGCTGCCACCGGGCCCCCCCCCCCCCTTTCCTCCATGCCGGAGCTTGGCGCATCCTACTGTGTAGGACCGGGGCTCAGTAAAGCCGCGCTGCTCCCACGCTGGTGCCCGCCTGGCTCTGGATGGGATGGGATGGGATGGGATGGGATGGGATGGGATGGGGGGGATGGGATGGGATGGGATGGGGGGGATGGGATGGGATGGGATGGGATGGGATGGGATGGGGGGGATGGGATGGGATGGGGGGGAAGGTGCCACCGGGCCCCTGAGCCCACACTGGGGGTCCAGGCTGGTGATGGTGCAGGGGGGGCACCCGAAGGGGCTGACACCGGGGGTACATCCAGTTCCAACCCCCTGCCGTGGGCAGGGACACCTCACACTGAACCAGGGCACCCAAGGCTCTGTCCAACCTGGTCTTGAGCACCGCCAGGGATGGAGCATTCAAAACCTTCCTGGGCAACCCATTCCAGTGCCTCAGCACCCTCACAGGAAAGAATTTCCTCCTTAGATCCAATCTAAACTCCCCCTGTTTCAGTTTGAACCCGTTACCCCTTGTCCTGTCACTCCAGTCCCTAATGAAGAGTCCCTCCCCAGCATCCCTATAGGCCCCCTTCAGATACTGGAAGCTGCTCTGAGGTCTCCCCGCAGCTTCTCTTCTCCAGGCTGAACAGCCCCAACTTCCTCAGCCTGTCTCCATACAGGAGCTGCTCCAGCCCCTGCTCATCCTCGTGGCCTCCTCTGGGCTTGTTCCAACAGTTCCACGTCCTTTTCATGTTGAGTATAAAACATAGTACAACCCCCCCAATACTAGAAATGTTGGAATTCCTGCATTTCCAGGAATGGGGCTCCCAGCGTGGGGGCTCCTCCCCACAGCGCTGCTGGGGGCTGCTGTGAAGCACCGGTTTCTGCCGCGCTAAAGCCCCAGCACCGCGCCTGGCGCCGGTGACCCAAGCTGATCGAGGCAGGATTAAAGAAATAATCGGATCTGGCACCAAAAGGGCCCCGTGGGCACTGGGACGGGTGGGAGCTGGGATGGGGAAAGCCCCAGGGACCCGCGCCAAGCTCAGCTGAACACTCAGGGTTTGTCCCTGCCCTCGTGGTCCTCCAGCTCCTGCTCCCACGACCTCCTCTGCTCATCCCCATCACCTTTACAACACCCCGCTTCTCATTTAGGGCAACGGGAGCTGCTTAGAGCCGGGGACTGTGAACAAGAGGGAAATGCTCAAGGGGAGACCTTGCTGCAGGTCTGAACGCTCAGGGCAGACCTTCCAACACCGAAAGGGGCCGACAAACCTGGAGAGGGGCTTGGGACAAGGGATGGAAGGCCCAGGCAAGGGGAATGGCTTTAACCTGCCCGAGGGGAGACTGAGCTGAGCTCTTAGGCAGGAGCTCTTCCCTGGGAGGGTGCTGAGGCGCTGGCACAGGGTGCCCAGAGAAGCTGTGGCTGCCCCATCCCTGGCAGTGCTCAAGGCCAGGTTGGAGCATCCTGCTCCAGTGGAAGGGGTCCCTGCCCCTGCATCGCCCTCCCTGGGACACGCACCGGGATTCTCCCACCCGCAGCAGCAGGCGAGCGCGCAAGGGGATGCGATGCCAGGCTCGCAGCGGGGAGGAGGCTGGGCTGGCTGTGTGGGCAGAGGGCAGCTGGGCTGCTCTGCCTCGCCAACAGCTCCCTTTGAGAGCCACGGGAGGTTTTAGCCTTTACCCTCCTCAAACCCTGCGCTCGCAGCGCGAGGCCGGAGGCGGCGCGGGCCAGAAGAGCCCTGACGCAGCAGCATGTGGCCTGCACTCGGGTGGGAGGCTGTTGAGCCGCTCACAGCAGCCCTGGCTGACCGTGCCCCTAACCCCAAAACTGCTGGGCTTGGCTTAAAAAGCTCCGAATCCTTGCTGCGGAGGAGCAGGGGACAGAGCCAGGGTTGAATTCCTTCTCAGTGCTGGGTGGAGAACAGGCTCTCCTCATCGCTGCTCAGAACCCGTGCTGAACACAAACCAAATGTGGCCTTCCCCCCAGCAAGGAGAAGCAGGAAGAACACCGTCAGCTCTGTGCATCCCACCTCTAGAAACCAAATCCCGGTACTGGAAGTGCCACTGGGGTTTTCTGTTGGTGGTGGGCTGGCTTTTTCTCTCCTCCTCCTGTGAAGGGCAAGGCTGGTTTCTCAGCTCAAGGGACTTTTCAGAAGGCTGGGAGTCACTGAGCACTGCAGGGCAGTGGAAGCCCCCAGTGCAGTGCTTACGTGCATATCTACACACGCTGCATATAAACGCAGTGCTTACACACAGCTGCTGAGCTCTTTGTATTCAGCAGCACTGAGCACAAACTTCAGGCAAAAGGTGGAAGCCCAAGCTGACAGTGTCCCCTTCGCATCCAGAAACGCTTCCAGGCTTGGAAGAATCTGCCTGGATTTCCTTTAATACCAACGGGAACCCTCCGAGGCCGATTTTCGGTTCAAACAGACCCAAATTGGCAATGCTGTGGGGAACAAGCTAACCCACTGCGCGTTTGAGGTGAGCAAGGACCTGGTGATGGGATCAGGAAGCCCAAGTTACCTCCAAACCCTCACTCATAGAAAAGAAGTATTAAAGCCTTCTTCAAACCAGCTTTTGGAAAAAAAAAAAGATAAAAAAGTCTCGTTTATAAATAGAGCTGCACTGGTTATAAATAAATGCACTTGGATTCCCCAAACCCTCCAGTCTCACAAAGCCTTTACGACAGCAGGGTCGGAAACGCTCGTCGCCCACCGCTCGCGGTGAGCCCGAGGGCAGCACGTTGCTGAAGAGGGGATTCTGGCAGATCCTGCCTTCCCTTCAGGCCCAACTGCCAGGCACGGACTGGTTTAGGATGAAAAGCAGTCTCCTCTTGGGCTAATTCCTTCAGAGCCGTGACGGAATTCCCTCAGAGCCTTTACGGACTCATTAGGCCACGATACATCGGCGACGTCAGGACAGGGACTGATCTACTGGCAAAGAAACATTAACAAAGGCAGTGCCTGAACCAAGAGAAAACCACTCTTGGCCCAACACACTTGGAAATAACAGGGGAAAATGCAATGCAAGGACTGGCAAAACAAAGCATTACCTCGAATCCTGACAGTGGTTCCAAACCTGGAACAAAACCAACCCCTAAAAATCAACCCCCAAAGCAACAGATGAGGGGCTGGAAGAGCGAGGGGTTTTATCTTGCAAGAAGCCACCCCCCGAGCAGGCAGCGCCATGGGGCTGCAAGCCCCTCTTCACCCTTAGATCCCTCCTGTGACTGACGGCCCAGTTTGTGCCATGGGATTCTTTCCAGCCTTCGTTGGTCTGTGGTGTTCCCCTAAACTTCCCCGCACGAGCACCCATCAGCAAGCTCCACGCGCTTACCCTGGGCCCTTCCGATCCGCTCCCGGCTTTGGAAGCCCACAGTGCGCAGGACTAAAGAGCTCCCTGCGTCAAACAGGTCTGCAAAGAGCAAACAAGGCAGGAATCTTTGGGTAATACAGATCAGCTGCTCCTTAAAAAAGGCTTTGGTTCCCTTGAACGCTGCACAGTACAAAGGCGAGGTGTGGATCTGCAGAGCGGGCTCCTCACCCGAGCTGCGTGCAGACGTTTGCATACATCAGTAGTCAGGCAGTGTCAAACAGAGCATCTGCCAAACACCCTACAATGCAGGAGGCATTGCCTGGTGATCCCTTCAGGCTGGGGGGGGGTTGCCAGAACTCCCCTGAGAAAAGAAAGAGGGGGAAGCACCACGTTCCCCGAGAGCACGGGATGCTCTGGCTGGCGGACGTTCACCCCTGCCTCTGCTCTTGCGCTCAATCAGAAAGCTGAGATTCCTGGGCTTGGAAGAAAAGGGACAGGGAATTCATTCCCTTTCTGGCTGAAAGGGGAAATCCCTTCCACACCTCTGAGGGTTTTCAAAGCAACGCCCTAGGAGACCACTTTTACTGAAGGTCCAGAGCTGCTCACTCGGCTTCACAGAAGGGAGCGAACGCCTTGGGTTATTCCAGAGCGCCTGTTCTCAGCGCTCTCATTTCCAGGCAGCTGAGAGCTAACACCAGCTGCTTTGGCAAGGAGGTGTTTCCTTCCCCCTCCCCAGCAAGGCAGGGATCGACATCACAAAGTAAGCCATGGGGTCACTCGCCCGTGGAAATGTTCCTCAAAAGCTTCCAATTTCTCTAGGTGAAGCTTTAAAAGCACCTTTGGCACCGTGCTGAAAGCAGGGCTCTGTGGCAAGTTGGCTTTGCCAACAGCCCCCCCGCACTCAACAGCGGCTGCCAACAAAACCCCCTCCCTGCTCTGCCTTTACAAGCACCAGGATTAGGAGGTTGCAGCTTCCACGGCACCATCAGTTGTCAGGTCTGCTCCCAGCATGGCCAACACGGATTCCTGGATGTCCTCCGAGGTCACCACAAGTGGCTCAGCCTGGGGGAGCTCCGCCGGGCTGGGCTGCTGCCTGCCCATGGCTGCCAGCCTCAGCCTGTACTCCTCGGCCTCCTGCTCCTTCTTTAGGAGCTGGCTGCGGTATTCCTGAGCCTCCCGCTTCGCCTCTCGCAGCTGCTGCTGGAGCGCTTCCCCTTCAAGGCTGCCCTACAGAAAACAGAGTTGAGAGAGCCCGTGATGGAGCCCCAGCCTATGCCACGAGGGAGATGGGGTGGGCGAGCGCTCCAGCAGCTGGAGTTAGGAAAGCAAACTGCTCCAAGGCAGCGCTAGAACAGCCTTGGGTCGAGCTCCAGTCAGCTGCCGTGCTCATCACAGAGGCAACGGGGACACGGGAAGGCACAGACCGGTTGCTCGTTGTCCTCACGGTGTGCGGGGAGGTGGGCTGGGAAGGGACCCACGATGAATTTCAAGGGTTGGAAGGAGCGGTAACCAAGAGGTAAGGAAAAGAAAGAGCTGAAAAATAGGGCTGA